TCGGGTGTGCATGCTTGCACATCCTGTTTACTTTACTGTGCCATCCTTCTACATGATTAGTTGTACGAGGCCCTGTGTTGTCATAGTGGTTCCACAGGTCTAGCTGCTGTCCTTCCACCCACGTTTCTGTGACATAGTCCATGAAACGAGTAACCTCTGGGCTGTTGTCCTCATTTTCATCAAGAGCATTGAACCAAACGTCTTCCACTTGTCGGGTCGGAACCAAGGGTAGGACAGCAGCTCATACATGCAATGCATTTTTGAAATTAGAAGAATTTGAACTATATAATTATTATAGAGGCTGCGATCTGTTTAGATTTGATGTAATTTTCGAGAAAAGCGAGAAGGTGGAACTTTTAAGACTAATGTTAGATAATTACACTTACCAACTTTCTCAGTTCATCGTCCTGTTTGTAACGCGCAGCTAACCCACATCCCTGTGTCTTTCTCCAAATGCATTGCGTGTAATGGAAAAAACAGGCTTTCACTGTCGTAAGTGGGAACACAGCATTTATCGCGTTTCGGGCAGCTACTTCAAAGTCCAACATGGCTACTTCTGGTACCAACATCAAATTTATTTGAAGCACAGCATCCCTCAAAAGGGTGAAAAACCTGATGTAAGTATGTTCTGCTTTGTTTGGTAACAGTGCAAACACAAGAGGGAACATAGTTCCACTGACGCTACCGTGGAGTGTATATAGCTGGCTGAACAATCATGGACACGAATAAAATGTTCCGTCACTGTACATGATTGTTACCTGACAAAGTTTTCTTAGATTGTCATCAGTAGCGAATATAATAATTCGCTGGCCTTGTTGATTTGTGTCATCAGACAATAAAAATCTCTCTCCAGCTGACGTTTCCTTCCACAGGTCGTCCAGCTGTATATCTTGCTGTCGTTGTGGCAATTTTGGCAACACGTTAGCTCTACTCCTGTATAATGCGGACTTGCAACTTTCAAATGTTGGTATTTTTTTTATCATGTCCTCAACATCATCATCATAGTCTCTGTCACGGAGATTGCCAAGTTCCTCTTCAAATATTGCCGGGATAGCATTGACTTCATCTCGACAACGCTTTTTGACATTTACAATGAATGAGTCAGCTGCTAGTGAAATAGTATCAGGAGGATGGTTGTGATGTTGGTGCCCAAATACAACTGGGATGTTATCCAGGGTTATAAATGTTGCTGGACACTGCCGTAAAACACATCTCCAATAAACACGGTTATCCCGTCTTGTCCGTATAGAAAATTTGTAGCCAGCATGAAGTAGGTAATAGCCACCTCTACCATTCTCTAAAAAGTCAACCTGTACTTGTGCATTGGCCATGGTAAAATGACTGCAGGAAATATCGAAAAAATGTAACTAATGTTTTCTGGAAAGATGTTATTTTAGCATGGAAAGAATATAAAATCTACAATTTAAGATTCTTCATAGAATATTAACAACAAACAGTTTTCTTTACCAAATTAATGTTAAGGATGAGGATCTATGTAATTTTTGTAGAGATGCACCAGAATCAATTGAACACTTGTTTTTTAACTGTGTGAAAATAAATAATATATGGAATGAGTTAATAGCATGGGTGAATGACTTGAATAACAATATTATCATTATTGATCATATGAATATCAAAGATGTGTTATATTTTTGTGAAAAGGGTCCACCTATCATAAACTATCTCATTCTAATTATTAAATATTATATCTATACATGTCGATTCAAAAATATTGAACCGTCTTTCAATGGTGGAAAAAGACGCATTATTCAACAACCGATTGAAAAAAAGATGTCTTCTTTGAATAACACAATGAACAAGTTTAACCAAAAGTGGTCTCCCCTTAATATCTAAGAAAAAAGCTTTTAACATCAATTGCATATCCGGGTAAACTTAAAGAATTAATTAAAGCATGAAGGAAGAATTTTTGGTATTTAAGTAAATAACAGGTGTACATGTATGTATTATATCTGTCTTGTGTATGTGTTATGTTGACAAGTATGATTATTGGTTTATGTGTATGTGTAGATGGTAAATATATAATTATTTACTGTAATAGAAAGGATGGATGTATCCATATATTAATGTCTTAATATAAAGAATATTTGCAATATCTATATGCTATCAGGCATGCGAAGATGTGTGTGTATGGGTACGAGTGTATGTGTGTACAATTATGTGTGGTATATATGTATGACTCAAGTAATATATTTGTCATTTCGAGTGTGTGTATGATGTATTTATGAATACATAATTTGTAGTTAAATTTCACATAATTGTACACTGTTTATGTTTTTGTGTTTATGTATATAGGTCTAAATTGCAAGATACATTAGTATTTGTACTCTTTTTTATTTCCCCAGACATTCCTTCTTAAACTAATCCAAATTACACATGAAAAACAACATCATTCAAAGTACATGAATT